TGGGGAAACAATGGAAACAGTAAGAGACTTTATTTTCTTGGTCTCCAAATCACTGAAGATGGTGACTGCAGCCATGAAATTAGAAGATACTTGCTCCTTGAAGAAAAGCTATGAGCAACCTAGACAGCATATTAAAAAGCAGAGACATTACTTTGCCCACAAAGGCCCATCTAGTCAAAGCTGTGGCTTTTCCAGTAGCCATTCATGTATGGGTATGAGAGTTGGAAATAAAGAAAGCTGAGCACCAGATAATTGATGCTTTTGAACTGTGGTGTTGGAGAAGACTCTTGAAGTCCCTTGGATTGCAAGGAGATACAACCAGTCAATAGTAAAGATAATAATTCCTAAATATTCATTGGAAGGACTGATGCTGAAGCTGAAGTGCCAATAATTTGGCCACTTGATGTGAAGAACTGACTCTTTGGAAAAGATCTTGATGCTGGGAAAGACTGATGCAGGAGGAAAGGGAATGACAGATGAGATGTTTGGATGGCATCACCAACTCGATGGATATGAGTCTGAACAAGTGCTGGGAGGTGGTGATGGAAAGGCAAGTCTGGGGTACTGCAGTTTCATGGTGTTGCAGAGTCAGACATGACTGAGTGACTGGACTGAACTGAAGTGAACTGATATCCAAGGTACTCAAGTTTTCCCCTGAAAGGCATAGTAAATATTATTAGCTGAAGTGTTACTGTTGGTCAACAAATTATACTAATAAATTATCAGTGGGTTCTATGCCACCCATCTTTTATTTATTTAAGGAAAAATACCGAATGGATTGAATGGTTGAATCAATGATTCATGGAGTTTCATTCCCTGAGTGTACTAAGAATGTCTGAAAACACACTGTCATTTAAAATAAAGGACCTGATAGATTCAATTGAATTAACTGCTGTAGGGGAAAGAAGTGCAAGATATTTAGGGAGTATTAGTGGAAAAGCTTCTAAATGGATATAGCCCAGACACTAAGTTCATTTGGAAGATAATGAGAGGAGAGGAATTTGGGTTTCTAGTAGACCACAAATGACTCAGATCATGGGTCTGCAGACTTCAGATCAGTGTATAAACCTGCAAAAGTAGAGCTTCAGGAAGGGGCCAGAGCTGGTGATTTATGGCCTAAAACACTGAGGGATCATGTTGTCCTGTTCAAGTCCATGTATGGAGCCATGTGAAAGCACATCTGACATGAGACTGCTTGCACTAAAAAATCCAGATAGACTTTGTGGCCAGGTTTAAGTCACTTAATTGTCAAGAAGTAGTATATAGTACAAGGTGAGTTTAGAAAAACTGTAGGTAGGAGTTAAAATTGGTGCAGTTAGTAAACCCTGGTCTAAGTCATCGATGGACAAAAAAACCAGGTGCTGACAGATGAAATGGAATGGGGTAGAAAGTTTTATGTACCAGATGCTTGGGGAGCTGGAAAGAGGGGGAAGCAATGTCTCTAACTATGGAAGAATAGCACCATTCTCAAGCATTCCTCATATTTCCTAAATGGTGCATGACACTGGTAGAGGAAGTATGAGACAAAGTCTCAAATGAATCACTCTGTAATTCCTCACTGAAAGGTGAGGAAATCCATGGACAAGGGAACTGTGATATCAGTATAACTGGGGCAATTTATTTTTGATATTGCAAGCGCATGGTATTTGGGGAGGTAAACAAGTGCATCATGCCAGTCCTGGGATGGTCCCTCTGGGTGGAGCTGCCTCGTCCTTATAGAAGGAGTCTCCATCACAGGGCTGTCATTGTTGTGATGGTCATAGGTCTTTGGAGCCTCTGGTGAGCACAACTCTTAAGAGATCTTTTGGGAACTTGAGTGGTAGGGTTTAATCTAGGGGTAGAAGTGGCTTTAATTGAAGCTATTAGTGCTCTGTATTGGACAAAGAAGATAATGAGGATTTAGGGGTAAATTTTTGGCATTTGGTCATGAATGCGATCTTAAATGTGAGGAGAAAATGGAGTCAGGGGCACAGTCTTAACCTGAGAGAGAGTAAGGGAGATGAGATACTGTGCTATAGCACAGCATACATTGGTTCCAAATGCACCCTTCTCAGCATTCAATCCCATTGAGTGCCTAATCTGGGCCTTTGCATTTCTCCTCAGAAGCCCACAGGTCAGCTTGGCCAGCAACCAAGACCTCATGGGAGAAAAAAGTAGAGATTTGTTTGGGGATTGGCTACAAGTTTATTATCCAGATTCTTCTTGAGAGTATGTTTGTATTTGTACAACATCTGTGTAGATAATTTTGTTTTAGAAAGTGGTGGAAGAAAAGACTAACCAGAAAAGACTGAAGGTCTGAGGGCAAGAGATATAAAAAAGAAGGGTAAGAAGCTATTTATTAAAAACCATAAAGACTGTATTAGGAATCAAGAAGAGTCCTTAGTGATGGGAGGGTTGTTGACACAGCTAAATGTCCTACCATTTGGACTCTCAGTTATGAAGAATGTTGTCTGTTTCTATTTCAGATTCCTTAAGACCCAGGAAGGATGTCTCACCACCAGCATCCGCATCCGCATCCACAGCATCACCATCAGGTCAAGGAGCCCTGCCATCCACCTCCAAAAGTGTGCACACAGAAGTCCCATAAGCCTTGCACATCTCATTCATGTCCACCTCCAGTGAGCCAGCAGAAATGCCCTCCTGGGCCACCATGCCCACCATGGGAGCAGAAGAGTCCACCCAAGTGGAAGTAACAGCACCAAGATCCAGGCTCTTCCATTGCTCTCCCTTCGGCCATGGTGATGGACTGCATCTTCCTTAATCTCCCTCCTGAACCCACAGCTGACAGAGAAAAGGCTTGGTTCCTAAAGTTGACTCTATGTTGAACATAGCAACTTTCTGTTGGAAAAAGATCAGCAGGATCATCGCTTGATCTCTCTTTGCCATGTTCCTGTCTGTAATCCACGTTGTGATCTCTATCCCATGAGCCATTAGTGTGTCTATTCTTTTGCTTCTCCAATAAAGCATATTCATAGCCCATTATGTATTTCTTTCTTTCGTTTCTTTGTTTTTGTTTTGCATATAGTGTTTTTCATCTCTTCTGTCTACTACAAGTATTCTGAGTGTTCCTTTGCATTCCCATTGGCTTATCAGAATTAGAATTTTCCATCTCTGAGTTCAGCTTTGCCTGAAATATGTCTTTTGGATTGGATCCATCATAGAATTCTGTCATTGGTTTCAGACTTGTTTCTATCTTTGTCTACCTTGAAGACCCTGAAAATAATTGAATCCTCTCAGTCTCAGGTTCCTTATTTGTAAAACCAGTAGGCAAGAATCTATTCAACCCAGTGTACTCATAGAAATTAATTTATTTGCAAAAGTTTCCTAATTATTAACACAAGCCAGGCAATCTCTTATGTGCTAGGGACATGAGAATGGTGACTAAAGTCCTTTTGTCCATCTAAACTCTTGAAGCAATTTTGCACACACACACACACACACACACACACACACACACACACACATAGACACACATACAAGGCAAATAATAGTGATGCATGGGGGTATGTTAGAGACAACTGTGTAGACAAACTCTTCCAAAATGGCTTTTAGGGCAAAGACTTGAGTGAAGAGAAGAGTGAGCCTTGAGTATCTGGGGTGCACTGTACCAGTGAGAGGAGATGGCGAGTGCTGAGGCAGGGCAGAGGAACTGCAGGGAGAACGGTCATCAAAGAGACGATGTCTCCAAATGGGGTTGAAGACATTGGATCTGAAAGATGTATCAAAGGTTTTGATAATTTATTCAGAGTTTTTTTAGCCATACTATGCTGAAGTTCAGAGTCTCAACTTTCTATGTAATTCTCTACTATCACATGTATTTTCTTTCTTTTTTTTTTCCCATTTATTTTTATTAGTTGGAGGCTAATTACTTTACATCATTGCAGTGGTTTTTGTCATACATTGAAATGAATTAGCCATGGATTTACATGTATTCCCCATCCCGGTCCCCC